CGTATCCTATATTAATTACTCCCGTGATTGAAATGAATCTAATGATACCGCATACATATTTTTTTAAAGGGAAATTTAGAAAAAATATTATTATGTCTTTATCCCGTGGGACTTTTAGGATAAAATGTATCCTATGACACTCCCGTAATCAAGACAAATCTAACGATACCTCATACATCAAAATCCATCAAGCCGTTTAGGCTACAGGTGGTCACAAAGGAAAAGACATACATACATACTTACATACACTCGAAAAACATTACCCTCCTTCTTTGGCAGTCGGGTAAAAATAACAATTAATTGCGAGAACTCCTAATGATGCATCAAGTGTTAAAAATTTTAATTTTGGCAACAATAAAACTGCATAATTGTTTGGCGTCGAAAACAGAAAAAATGTTTAGCAAAACACAATATTATTACCTACTCTCCGTAACTAAATTGAAAATGAGATTCTTTGTAACACAGTTTTATATAAGACTAGCGGACACTGTAAACTTAGTTTCGCCTTAGAAATTTTTCTAACATAACAATAACAACCTTAGAATTAGCGAAATTGGTTCAGCTGCTGTCGAGATTTGCATTTAGCAACATATTCAGCGATTCGTTTTTATATTATAGGTAAGTCTTGCTTTATTAGGCACCATATTGCAATATGCATATTATGTATGTAAAGAAAAAGGTTTTCTTAATTTTTTATTACTTTGTCAAATAGTCTCATTTTCCATCCATTATACGATTTAGTCTTATATGTATTTCCATAAATAAATGTAATATGGATACATGACACATTTTTCCTCCAAATATTTAGTGAAATACATATCTAATTGATTTATTTGACACGTAAACAGCGTTGCATCAAACCATAACTAATTCTTTGAGCTTGTTATTAAACAACACTTATATAAACTATGATTTCATTTTGTGTTACAATGTCTTATTTAATAGTAATTAGTAACACTAAACAAATTGTAATTTAGGTACTGTCTCTTAGAACTTAAAATGAAGATTACATTGAAGTATAACTAATACGTGCATTAAGTTCCGTAATGTGCACTTCTGTCTACTCCTCCGGGGATAAAAGACGTGATGTTATGTTATGTTTATGACGAAAACGTCATTTTCAACTCCATCCCATCTTTAACATTATACATAACTGTAGTTTACGAACTTACCTATGTAAGCAACCGAGCAGATACAAACATTGACGAAATGTTTTTTGTTTAAAAAACAACTTCAACCCCTTTTTTGTTAGTTAATTAATATACTTAAACCTTTTCCTAGGTGTAACAAACGCTTTTCTGAAAACTGCAACGAATTCGTTTCAGCCAATGGCGAGATACATACATACAAGTCAAACTAAGAATATCCATCATTTTATAAAGTCTTTTAAAAATGGAATGCCCCTTTTAATAAATTATGCACCTTTGAGTGCAATTTTGCTTAATTCCGTAAAACCGTCTACCTACTATTCGTGCCCCATAGTTCCCACACCTCATAATTCTTTTATCCACATGGTTCAATGTACCTTCAAATACATAAAGCGTAACCTGATAGTCATAGTCATAATTGGGTTGACTTGTGACAGTCAACTAGGTCGGATCTGTGGCAAGGTCGTGGCCGGAGGTCAGCCCAGCCCAATTCCTTATTGTCCCGACAAAATACTAAATGGGTTCCGCTAGAGTTCGCATCTTCTTTGATATATTATGACTGAATATATTTATTTTGCAACTAAAATGATTAGACTGTTAAGGGGCGTTGATCGAAATTATAATAAGATATGAATAAAATGTCCATGGAAGACCGGGGTCTCCTAACACAGGCACATCTTGTTTAAAAGGAGTCCCAAGCACGATCACCCAAATTTGTAATTACAAATTACAATAATAAAGGACTTTTCAATTTTCAATATGTTATTCCCACAATGCGGGTAAGTAGTGAAAATGAATTCTACTGTATAATAATAATAATGACAGAAAGTATTTAAGGAAGATCATCTTTGACACTCTGCCTGTGGCAGAGTGTCAAAGATGTCAAAGTGTACGCGCAATAAACCCCTTTATATTTTCGTCTTCTACTGAGGTTCTAGCGTTTTACGACCTCCATGCAAAGATTCTCCATCATTATCACATTCTTTTCGACATTTATAGTGTAATTTTTATCTTAACTAACAAATTAATTGTCAACCTGGCATAAAATTTGGAAACAACATAAAATAATACAACGGCACGATTGGTACGGTGGCTGGACATCCAGCTGCCGCGCAACGTGCAGCGGGTTCGATTCCCGCCCGCACCAACTTTTTGTGTGATCCACAGATTATTGTTCCGGGTCTGGGTGGCATGTGTATGTGAACTTGTATGTTTGCAAACGCACCAACGATACAGGAGAAAAATCCTAGTGTGGAGCAAACTTTTTATAAAAAAATACCTAAATGAAGCAATGTAATGTGACTTATCCGATATCGCTTGGAAACTTTTCAAGTGTATGTATAGGTCAGCTCATGATTATTGACGTAGTCGCGTGCCATAAGTGAGTCATGTGTAAATATCTATAATATTTTGACATATTGTGTGGAATCTTATCAAAATGTCTCAAGAAGGGGCGGATGATAGTTTTTCTAGTGTTGTTGTTAAGTATAATGTTGCATAAATCACTAAAAAGGGTGTCCCTTGTGTTTTTAGGTTTTGTGGCTTAGGTACTACTAGCTGTCCCTCCAGCACCCAGGCTTCTGTGTATTTTTTATTTTTCTAACAAACTCATTTACTTTTTTTTACTAGCCCGCCACATGCGCCCAATATTACTGCAACTCCTATATATAAGCCAGGATCTACAGTAGCTACAACCGTCATTGAATAGACCTTGTCTTGATAATAGGAAATAAAAATAATTTACACAATTTTAATGCAGTTTTGTGGTCTCCAGGTGGCGCTAGAATAGCGTGAGGCGTGAACTCCAACCAAAAGAAGGTACAAGAGAATCTTTTGGACAATGGGCAGTGGTTTTGATAATAATCTTATTTGTGTTTTGTGACACTCCTAAACTTTTGTTATTGTAATGACTTTTTTGGTTATTTCTTATGGCGGGAATTTGGCGCCGCGTGCCGAGGTACAGGCTCACGCCTAGTTCGGTCGCGGATGCTCGTTCTGTTAGTTGTAGGATAAGTGTTATAAGTCGTAATTTGAAACTCTAAACTGTAACCACTTTTTGAATAAATAAATAGATTAAATAAATCACCATAAATAACTAACTTATGTTTTAGCTATCCTGAATATATAATACAGCAAATTGAAACGGGACCTTCAATTACCAATTAGCTAATAATTTTAATTGATAAAGGGCAAAACGTACCCAATTCTTTAGTGATTAAGGTCCCTTATCGCACTTATTTATTACTATCATAATTTGAAGTGGGAAAACCCAGCATCTGTTATCAAGACAAAACATCTGTGAGTCATTGTTGTGTCATCCAAATATCTCCCCAATTTGATAAGACGATAACATGTCATAAGGTCCTCCTAAGGTCTATAATGAGAGGTAGGTATAATAATTTAAGTCTTCATATACTTATTGAGATATAAAGGTTTTCGCAAATTAAAGCTGTTAGTAACACTTTACCTGACCGAAAAAATTAATCTGAATGTCATTATTTGCAGCCACAGTAGAGCAGACCGTATAAGCAAGTACTACTATCTCCTATCCAGTTACTTAATTCCAAACCTAGAAATAACTATTCGTTTTTAAAGTCAAAGTCAAAATCACTTATTTGAATTAGATCAGGAAGGCACTTTTGAACGTCAGCTGCGTCAGCAAAAGAAATTTAAAAGTGAAGCTATTTGCTCATTCCAAGGTCTCTTATGGAGAAGAACGAGCAAGAAACGTCATAAGTTACTCTTTTCCAATCAGGTTCACAATACAATTCTCCAGTTACACAGTTTTATTGGTTCGATTGTGCGAGAACAATGTAGGTAATAACAAAATCCAGTCAAAGAGATCGAAATAGAGGTAGAAAATAACCTTAAAGACAATAAATTACAATAAATACACCATAGGTACATCATATTATGGCGGTTCTTGCTCGTTCGTCTCCATTCGAAACTACACTTTGGAACGAGCGCCTAGCTTCACTGACAGACAGACGGATAGACAATTCCATTTTTGAAGTTTCAAAAGTCCCTAGTAAAAGGATTAATGGAAATAAATGCTTTGACTTTACCTACACAAGGGATCGCCCGACCGACACGATATGAACTAATTGGAAAAGTATGACATATGGCATGCCAGCCTGAACGATATTTTCAACAATAAATTGATCCTTTAGTGGGCAAAAGGCTCTTTTGTACGGAGGAGGAATAATAAGGTAGATCCTTAGAAAACATCACCTTGATACTGGCCAAGTTTCCCGCACTGTGAAGCTTGAGAAACAAGTACCTTAACCTCCGGGTCACCACCATCAGTGATAGCGAGATAACAGTATTTTTTAACCTATGACTGTGTCACTATTACGCAAAGGATAAATCTTTCCACAACAACAAAAATGTCCATCGTATTGAAGACTCGGTTGCCAAAGAAGAAAAAAAAAAACAAAAATGTCCCACCACAGCTGCCTCAGTCTTACAAAAATTAAAAAATTTCAATTATTAGATTGTTACAATAAATACTTCTAACAACAACCTCCTGACTATACTTGCATAGGTAGATACTTGAAATATTCCTAGGTACAAATCCTAAATTAGCTTTTAAAGCTACATGACACATAACCTAATCGCATTTTATCATTATCATGTTTTACTGACATAATCAGGCGACACCACTTTGTTTTTATTGCTCAGCCTGGAACTGCATTTACTCTAAGCTAGAAAGTGAAATAGCGTACAGCCGACCACGCGAAATTGTCCCATTCCGACTACGATACTAGTAATTAATTGTGTTTATTCCGATTCGGTTGGTTTATGCCGGTGCGTTCCGATAATATGTGACAACGGATTTTTACATCCAGCCAGTCCGCAGACACGCGTCGTGCGGAGAACGCGCTTGTGTTGAATTTCAAATTTGGAAAAGAAAAACATCGCGAATATTTTGACAGATGAACAGAAAAAAATTGTTTGATTTTATTTTGTTCTCTTATGTTCTAGTTTTCCTTTAAGATTAAGTTTTGCTTGTTATTAGTTAAAAGGTTTCGTTTTTCTCATTTTCGCGGGTGATATCCTACGAGCGCTTTCCTGAAAATATTCACATCACGAAAGTTTTATGCACCAAATGTAAGTAATTAGACATTTGATATTTATAGAATTCAAGTAGGTAAATATTTTATCGCTCTTGGTTAATATGTTTTTCTTTTAAACTCATATCTCACAGTTGTTTTTAATCTTTAAAAAGTATCAAATCTTTATAACAATTTGCCGACAGGCGTTTAGTTTGAACTCAAATTGTGATAAGAATTCACGAAGCCGATAAAGAAACTATATTATTTAATCTTACTTTTATTGTAACATAAAACTTTAATGAACAGTTATTTAACTACCTTCATAGATAACATTAGAATCACACATTGAGTACTTAATTGTGAACATATGCATTTTTACATTTAAAACCATTGATCTAAGTTTTATTAAAGTTTTACTCGAACTTTTAAAATATTAAGTGATATTTTATTGAATTTCTGTTGTATTTTTCCGTATCTTTCACTGATTATTCTCTTACACTCACCTATAAGATAAAAACTAAGTAATTCGGTAAAACAAAAGTGTGTTTTGAGGAAGTTTTTAACAAATTAAATGAAATAAAAGATTACATCAATAGAACTTCAGGTACAAAACTAACATACTTGTTTGATGCTATCAAACAAGAAAATTGAAATAAAATAAAAAACAATATTCACAATTTTCCTATTTCATTTTCTACGCACACGATTGCAAAATTGCGATTATTGAAAAAAATCAGTCACATTACTGTATACAAAAATCCTAGCAAAGTACGGTTCAAAATTGTTTAATGTCTAATGAACAACTTACTTAGAAGGAGGTACCTAAATAAATAAGTTATCGGCTGGATGTTATCAGTGTAATGGAGGAAAAAGTTATTCCTTACATAATTGTATCACAAGTTTGTACATTGTATAAACCATATCATTTGTTAAATAATTATAAATAAATAAATAGTGATAAAGTAATGTCAACAAATGACTAGTCGTGACCCTAAATGTCGTAATAAGAGCCCGTTACTTGATATTCTTAACGAAATCAAAGAAATTTTAATCATTCATTTTTTTTAATATATAAATCTTTGTAGGTGTGTCAGAGACAACGCAGACATGTTAAAACTTAAGACAAATATTAAAATGTCATAAAGTTGTAACATTTGACATAATAAAAATACGGGAAGGCATTGCCTATTCAAAAATGTTTCTAACTTACCAGAAGGGCAGAAGCTGTAGCCAAATGCCACTTAACGCTTGCCTACATGTAGAATAGAAAACCAAATTATATGGGATTGATGTAAATTTTGACACTTGTCACTGTCATCCCCATACATTTAGTTTTCTACACCCTCTGTAGACAAGCGCTAAAGTGGCGTTTGGCTAAAGGCTCTGACAATTTTAAGGATTAGCTATTTGTAATTATACTAAAATGTACTAAACATTAAGGTTGAAAAAGGTTTTACCAAAGTCTGTTTCTTTGAGTTTCTAGATATTAAAGATATCCCTAGTTCATAGAGTATCTACGCCAAAAAAGTATATCCATACCAATCAGGCGCACCATAACCTGATTTGTCATCCGACTTCTGAGTAAATAAAAACTTCTTTTTTGAGAAAAAAAATTGTTTTTGCTCGACTAACGTCGATATCAATAGGTACTCCGCATCGATTTTGATTTTTGACAGAAATACTATAGAACTAATGTCAAATTTCAATCTTAATTTCTTAATCACCGAAATATTACTATGAAAAATCTACATTTGTTCATACGAAAGTAGTCTCTAAACTTCGGACTGGTCTATAATGGAGTAAGTTCAGAGCGGTCACCGGCGACGGCTTGGGAACTGGGCAGAAAGATTTTGGATTGTAATTGTTTATTGAAATCGGCAATAAATGTCGAAATTAATAATATCCGATTATTTCCGATTTCAATTCAAAATCGATTTCAATAATATCCGATTATTTCCGATGTCGATCCAAAATTTTTAGATAAAGATCGATTTTTGACATCTATTATGGTTTTTGACATCGGTTTCTGTAAAAATCCAAAATCAACCCCGAGATTTCGTATTAAGATCGGTTATTGAAATCGGCAGGCAGTTTTTCAATTTTAGGAGCATGTAGGTAACATTTAAACTAATTAAATATAGGCAGTCAGGTACTTATTTGCTGTTTGCAATTTCCTGCCTGTAATTTAATGTATTTTTCCGTGACCCGATAATAATTATCCCTAATAAAAGTGACGTAGGTACATAAAATACCTACATTTAATATAATTTGTATTAGTGTAGGTCCTTTTATAAAAGTACGTTAAAATATCTATATACATGAAGGCGCGTCCCTGGCGCCATCTAGTAGTAAAGACTGAAAACCCATTTTGACATCTATTATGTAATTTAACAAATCACACTGATTGGACGAGAGTGACAATTGTGTTGTCACTCTGGCGGAACGTCATAAACGTCCAACAACCACCGGGGTCGTTGACTTTGATTGCAACGATAGCGTGGATTAGACGGTTACGACGGATTGCTTTCGTCCCAAGTGTAAATCCATTTCCATCTGCGTTAAATTAAGCGATTATTGTGATTTACATTGTGAATTGTTATTATAAGGCTGCTGATCGAAGACCTGTCTAATTATTTCAATAAAAATACCTTGCGCGATTACCCACTTTAAGATGAGCGATTCTGATACTGGTACCCACGTGCCGTTATCAGAAGTGGGATGCGAAAAACAGTCGGATCAAGATACTCAGCCCCACAATCAACCTAGCAATAGTGGATTGCTTACCAATATGGAAGCCCTGCTAACCCGTTTGTTAGCAATGCCGCAGCAAACATCGCAGCCTGTAGCAAACACTAACGCGGTTCAGTTAATCAAGTTCGACCCAGATGACGAAGATGCTGATGTTAAGGGCTGGTGCCGTGTTTCGGAGTTGATTATACACAGCAAGAATTTAATTGGCGTGGAACTTTTGGTAGCTCTGACAACTGCATTAAAAGGACGAGCAGCATCTGTTCTGACTAAACTGCGTCTGGAAGACTTAACCTGGGAAGTTGTGAAACAAGCATTGCTGGCGAAATTTGCAGAGCCCAAATTGATGCAGGATTACTTTGATGAAGTGTTGCGCTTTCAGATCGGAACAAAGGAGACTGCTAGCGAATCCGCTATGCGTTTATGGGCACTAATCGAGCGAATTCCTAAAGTCGAGATGTTAGAAGAGGCAATCACTGGGTTCGTTATTTCCGTTCTGAGCTCGAAAGACAACATGATTCGTCGTGAACTGAACTCCTATGCCATCACAACGCGTGCTCAACTCTTCCGGACACTAGGTGGGGTCTCTTTAAAGCGGCGTACTGAAGATAATGATGGTAGTGATAATAAGATAAAAAAACCTCGTCCGTCAGACTCGAAGTTCAATGGGAAGTGTCATCGGTGTGGAGTTCCTGGACACAAAATAGCAGAGTGTAAAAGGCGACGTGACGACTCAGTTAATCGCGCTGATGGTTCCACGGATCAGATCAAGGACAGGTCGGCACCAATCACCTGTTTCTCGTGCGGGAAACCTGGCCACGTATCTACGTCGTGCCCTGAGAAGAGAGGCGGCGCAGCGGTCAGGGAGGTCAACACCTGCGAGCACAAGACTTCGAGAGGTAAACTAACGACGGCATCTGGTGAGCATATCTGTTTCCTTTTTGATAGTGGCTCCTCTTGTTCTTTGATTAAGGAATCTGTGTCTTCGGATTTCCCTGGCATTGAACGCAATAACACAGTTTATTTGACTGGCATTGGGGGAGACGATATTGAGTGTGATAGACAAATTTCTAGCACTGTCCAAATTAATAATCTTTGCTTGACTCTCTTGTTTCATGTCGTTCCAAACAACTGCATTTCAGAAAACGTTATTGTAGGTAGGGACGTACTGGAAAATGGAGTACGTGTTGAGATTGATAACGAAAATCTCTTCATATCCACTAATGAGAAAATAAATTTTTGCGAAAGTGTACAAGGTATTGACGTCGCGGCCCTAGATACAGATTTAGTCGGGGACGAGAAGGAAGCCTTATTGGGTATCTTGTTGAAGTATACTGATCACTTTATAAGTGGTACTCCAACTAAACGTGTTAATACGGGTGTAATGAAAATTGAACTTATTGACCCTAATAAAATAGTCCAACGGCGACCGTACCGTTTATCTCCCATCGAAAAACAGGTGGTGAGGGATAAGGTTCAGGAGTTATTGAAAGCTGGTGTTATTCGAGAGAGTTCCTCGCCGTTTGCTAGTCCGATTCTATTAGTAAAGAAAAAGGACGACACGGATAGAATGTGTGTCGACTACAGAGAACTCAACTCAAACACGCGACCTGAGCATTACCCCCTACCACTTATAGACGACCAAATAGACCAGCTCACCGGAGCTTATTACTTTTCGTGTTTAGACATGGCCTCTGGTTTCCACCAGATTTTGATCCACCCAGAATCCGTAGAAAAGACAGCTTTCGTGACGCCCGAGGGACAATACGAATATGTTGCAATGCCATTTGGTTTACGCAATGCACCCTCGGTATATCAGAGGTGCATTAATGATGCACTTAAATATTTGAAAGATGGACCCCTAGTGTATATGGACGATGTGCTCTGCCATTCCTCTGACGTCACAGAGGGTCTACGACGGTTAGACCGATGTCTGGGAGCTCTGACGAAAGCTGGGTTTTCGTTGAATTTACGTAAGTGTAAGTTTCTTAAAAACAAAGTTAACTATCTAGGTTATGCTATCCAAGCTGGTGAGATTAGACCCAATTCCCTTAAAATTCAGGCTTTGGCCAATGCTCCTCCCCCGAAGACAGCAACTCAAGTTCGCCAATTTCTTGGCCTATCTTCATATTTTAGGAAATTTATCCCTAGTTATACTCAGATAGTTGGTCCGCTATACCCTCTTACAAAGTTAAAGGGAGGCATTAAGTGGACCGAGAAACACGAAGAGATCAGACAAAATGTTATTCGGGTTCTTACGTCAGAGCCGGTTTTGACAATTTTCGACCCAAAACTGCCAGTAGAGCT